CAGTAAACATTCGATTCGAAAACATCCAATGAAATCGGATGCCGAAGGTTTTCACCCTTCAAAATGGTGTTTCGCAATGTTCCATCCGGTCGCATCGTTTCGATTGTATTCAGTTTGGTATCGACCCAGTAAATTTGATGCTCTTGTGCGTAATCAATGGTCAAACCGGCCGGATGGCGAATAGCATCTGTGATCAGTGGTCTTCTCTTCGAACCGTCCATCCATGAAACTTCAATCTTTGGTGCTGAACCGGCATCGGCCCAGTACATTCGTCCCAATTGTGGATTGACTGCAATTGATGTTGGCACTTCCAAACCAGCACTTACAACAGCTCTTCTATAACGGCCATCGGTCTTTGCAACAAGTACACGACCTCTTGGTTTCGATCCAGTTCGATCGACTTCAGTCCAGTACAAATTGTCAGCCACCCAATCGACTGCCACAGCCGTTGGTTTTGAATTGCCTTTCATGTTCAAATCTTGTGCGAATCCAATCTTGGCTTGACCATTCTGTGCATTCACCATGTACGATCGTTTGATTGTCTTGTCATAACTGTCAGCCCAGAAGATGATCTGTGTCTCAGCATTGTAATCCAAAGCTTCAATTCGTTTTTCCGCTTGTATCACATCGAATTCGTCTTGTTTTGTCAGATCGTAGGCTCGTATCTCGTCTCCATTTGAGAACACCAATGTAATGTCTTCTTTCATTGCACGGCAAACTCCTGATAGGCCATCCGATGCACGGAATCCATCGCGACATGAACATTCGTACGTTCCGTTTAGATTCTTACACAAGTGACTGCACGTATGTGTTCCGGTGGCACATTCATCCACGTCAACGCATTTCTTTCGATTCTCGTCCGCTATGATGTAGCCATGGAAGCAATGGCAAATGTAGCCACCATCAGTCAAGTTGGAGCATTGTTGTTCACAGCCACCGTTATCAACTCCAGGTGCTCCACAGTGCAATGTGTGATGACAGCCCAATTCATCGGAATTATCACCACAATCATCGGCAAAGTCACACACATTCTTTCGATCGATGCATTTCTTGTTGGCGCACTTGAACTGATTGACTTGATCGCATGGCTTCTGTTTGGTTGCGCACAATGTCATGTTATTTTCGTCACTTCCATCGCCGCAATTGTCGACACCTGCGAAAAATGAAACGGGCACATTTCGAAAGTTAGGCATTTGAATGCAAAGATTGGCAAGAAAATTAATTGAAAGGTGAAGACTTATTTTAATCGAGGCACATTTTATTGTGGATAAACAAACTATCGGAGGAAAAAAGTGAAAATTAAATATTTACCGTCACAAATTTGATAGCGAGCAATGCAACGATGATTATCACATTGGAATCGACGTAATGTGTCGCAATTGAAGTTCGAACAAACAGATGCCGCTTCGTCGGATGCATCACCGCAATCGTCAGTTCCTGGAAAATTTCAAAATTCAATTAAAATAATTACTAGAAATGGCCTATTTTAAATGGGTAGTCATTGAAATAAATTGGAAAAACAGTTCAAAAAAGGAACATGATATTTTATAAACGAAATGGATATTTACCGTCGCAAAGATCTGACATAGCAACACAAAGATGGTTGTTGCATTGGAATCGTGATTCAGGGCAGTACCGACCGCCTGGGAATCTTGGTGGACAATTGGCTTCGTCACTCATATCGCGACAATCCCTAATCGAAATTAAATGTATTGAATGATTTTATGGTCGTTTTTGAATTTGAAATGCATTTTCCATATGATTACAAATGAAAAAAAAACATACCTATCGCCATCGCAACGGAAGTGAGCGGCAATACAGTGTCCAGATGCACATTGGAATGTTCCATTCTTGCATTGATAGTTTTCACAACTCATTTCGTCGCTTGAATCGCCGCAGTCTATTTTCAAACAGAAATAAGTGAAAAAAAATCCATCAATGACAGTTGATAAGAGTGGGGAAATTCACTTGAAAAAAGAGATATTTACCGTCTTCATGATCACAACGCCATCTCGAAGATATGCACTTGCCATTGGTACAACGGAATTCCGATTCAGAACATTCTCGATATTTGCCTTTGCACTGAGCTTCAGTCTCATCACTGCCATCACCGCAATCTAGATAAAACAAACATATACAGGTAGTTTGATTAGAACACACTGTTTGTGTAACTGAAGAAAGTCATTAAAAAAGATATTTACCATCTGCGAAATCACAAGTCCATTGTCTGCAAAATTGATTAAAATCGAACGATTAGTCGAAATTCATGAAAAAGTTCGAATTTATTATACTTACTTTGGAATACATCTGTTGTTCGAGCATTTGAAGTCAGTTTCGCTGTTACAGACCGGGCAATTTTCTGGCAATTCATCGCTATTGTCACGACAATCATCCTGTGATTTTCAAAAATATTAATTGATTTCAGTTTTTTTTTGTGTAACAAAAAAAGACCAACACAAAAAAAATCATACCTTTCCATCGCAGAACAGCCACTTCGGTATGCATCGATAGTTTGATTGACCCGGGCATCGTTGCCATCCAGTTGTACAGTTTCGTTGGCGACACATGTAAGCTGGCTCATCAGAATCATCACCTGCAGAACAATTGGCGTTTTATTAGCATTTTGGATGAAAAACTTGCCGAATTGAATCAGGAAATAGAGAGAATACCAACCACAATCATTATCAAAGTCACACATCCACAGCTTGGCAATACAACGGCCGTTCTTACAAGTGAATTCAGTTTCTGGATCGCAAGCTCGTTTCACTAAAATCGAATAAGATTCAGGTTAATTCACTGAAAGATTCGAATATTTGGGGATATATTTCAAAGCTTTCCACTTACTGCACATAGCCGGATCTTCATCACTACCATCTTTACAGTCGGGCTCTCCATCTGTAAAAGATTAACAGAATTAAATTAATTCACACTCTCGCAAATAACACAATATCAAATGTTGGTTTTGAATTTACTCACCACTGAATACATTTCAATTCGATGTAGTTGGCATTTTGGATGTAAGGTTCGACCAGGTTTGATGTGAAATCACACGAAAATGAACGATAAGACAATGGACATGAGAAATAATAAAAATGTCAATTAGAATTGAATGAGTTTAGGAAAATCACATGAAAGTGATATTGTAACAGTAAAATAATTACCACGACCAGCTTGATAGAATGCATCGGCCACTTGATCGGCACTTGAAGTCTGATTCGGGACAAGGCAAGTTACAGTTTTGTTCATCACTACAGGGTGGAGAAGTTGAAATAGGAAGAGGTTTTCGTATTTAGTTTGATATTTCCATTTGAAACGAAAAACGTCATCAAATTTACAAAAATTTCAAAAAATTATTTTATATTACCTTCCATCACCGCAGTCATCGGTACCTGATTTTTTAGAAACGAAAATGAAAGCATTGAAATATATTAGACACCTGTTTGCAATTTGAAACCACGAACAAAGTATTTTATAAATGAATTAGTCATTTACCGTCACAAATGGTTGCTGATGGTGTGCAATTTGTGTTTCCACATTGGAATGTTCCGGCTCGGCAATGTCTAACTGGGCATGAGCTTGGTTCATCGCTTCCATCTAAAAGAATCAAATAAATTTTCAATAAAATTCGTTCGAATTGGATTTCCTATCCAAAAATTGTCTCCGAAATACCTTTACAGTCGCGTTCACCATCACTATTTTGTGATCATGAAAATAGAATTGAAAAAAATTAGAAAAATTTCATAAAAAGAGTCACATTCTACTGACGCTATTCTATGGCTACAACATACCATTTCCAGAACCAAGGAATGCATTTCTCGTCATCGCCTCCGCACCGATGTTGACCAGCTGTGCAGTTGGCGATGCAAGTTTTCGAATCACGTGCCAAGTAGAATTGATTTGGACAGGCGCATTTGTAGCTTGGTGCTCCTTCTTCGATGTATCCTTCGATATTGAGGTAAGTTGATTCGGCCGGTGGTGCCAACAGACACAAGTGTGAACATCCTCCGTTCGTGTCACCGCATGGATTCGTGTATGCCACTTGTCGCAACGGATGATGAATATGAATGTCATATGGTCGATGTGTTGTATTTCTCAGCACTTGTAAATCTTTTCCGGTGAATTTATTCGCTCTCATGATGGCTTTCAAGTTCCAATCGGTCCAATAGAGCATATCATCGAATAGCGACAGAGCGAATACGTGTGGAACTTTGGTACCAGACATCACAATGTGTCGATGACGACCTTCTAAATCGGCAAATGCAATGTAATCCAAATGAGCATCAGCCCAATAGATGCGATCGGTGAAGAAATCAACTGTCAATGCATTTGGCCATGCAATGTCATCTTCCCATGTTAAAATTCTCGTGAAATTCGAGCCATCCATTCCCATTTTAGCGATGTAAGCTTGTAAATGCCATGATGTGAAGTACAAATAACCGATTCCAGGATGCACAACAATGGCTCGTGGATCGACAATTCCACTGCGCAGTGTCTTACGTTTGGTGCCATCCAATTCGGCAACGTCCAAATTCTTCGAGTGTCGATCAAGCCAGTACAATTTCCGTCCAACCCAATCGATGGAAATTCCTTCGAGGCCGTGCGAATCGTGACGAATAACCGGTTCTTTGACTGGTACTTCATCCGAAGCTGGATCAAGATTTTTCGATCGGAAGATTGTTTTGGCTGTTACATCACAGAAGTACATGTAATTTTCCTTGATATCGAAATCCAATGCAACCACATTCATCAAGTCTTGGTGCACTAAATTCATTTGTCGCCCGTCGACTGACATATTTCTCAAGTAGTATTTGTTCGTGAAAACAATCCATGGTTGAGATTTATCTTTGCGTTTGCACGTGTGCTCATCGATTTGACGCTCGTAGTATCGCTCATCGCATTTACAGTAATAACTGCCCGGTGTGTTGGAACAGTGCTGCGAACATACGCCCGGTGTTTCTAAACATTCATCGATGTCAGCACACGCTTTGCCGTCGGCGAGCAATCTGTTTCATTAAGAAAATATTTTGCAATTAGTTGAATCGGAAAAAAGAAGGGAGAAGCGAGGCGAAACATGAAGTTAAAATGGAAAACTCACTTGTATCCTTGATTACAATCGCAGAAGTAGCCAGTGAGTGTATCAACGCATTTGTGTCCGCATTGATGAATTTCCACCTTAGCACACTCGTCAACGTTGCAATGAAGTGGCTCGTCCGATTCATCTGAACAATCGGCAACTTTGTTGCATACCAGTTGATAATCGATGCATTGACCATTGTTGCAAGTGAATTGGCCCGTTGCACAAGTGCTGTTTTCTTTCTTCGTACAGCCCACTTCATCACTTCGATCGCCACAATCTGGAATTGAACAAATATTTTAAATTATAAATGATTAATTGCTGGCAAATATTTACAATTTCATTGTTAATTCAGTCAAATTGTTTAAAAAAACTGATGAAACCGAAATTCAAAAGCGAATAATTACCATCTTCTCCATCACATCGATACTGCGAACGAATACATTTGAAGTTTTGGCATGTGAATTCCTGAGGCGAACATGTTTTATATTGCGAATTACAGAACTTGGCTTCGTCACTTCCATCACCTGTTGCAATTCATTTGCACAAAATAATTTATTTTCATTTATGTATAAATTTCAAAGAGGATAAAATTAATGTGGTTAATTCCAACCATTTACTGGAATTTGACGTTTTTCAATGATATTCGTATGGAGATTTGTACTTTTCTGTGTATTTATAATATATCATGTCAGTCACGGGAGTGAAAAGTTCAAAATCCGTACAGAAAAGTTGAAAAACGTTAAATTTCAATTAAAGGAGTATAACTCACCGCAGTCATTATCATAGTCACACAGCCATCCCTGGAAAAAAAGAAAATAACCATTATCATTGTATATTTGCAATGCTGCAGCATTTACAACACAGAATTGGAATTTTTACTCCCTGATTGCTGTGTGATTAAATGAACAAAACTTACTCTGTTTATACAACGGCCATTAGCGCAAGTGAACATATCCTCTCCGCATGGCTGTGGCGTAGCACAGTGATGAAGCGTAATATTTTCATCTGCGCCATCAACCTAAAAGTCAAATGAAAGAACCGAATTAATTAGAGCGAATAATCATTTTTGGATGCTTGCATGAGGAAATTTTTAATGAAGAAAACGATGAGTCAAATGGTATACAATAAAAAAAAATTATAGGAACATACGCAATCAGGGTCGCCATCGCAAATCCATTTTTTGGGAATACATTGAGATCGTCCCCAGGATTTGTTCTCATCACAGGTGAATTCAGTTTCTTCGTCACACTTTCTATTGTCTGTGAAATTGAGTGGAAAAAATCATTTTAGATAACATTGGACATGTTAAAGTAACATTTTTTCTAAATTAAATTGATGTCGAAACTTACTGCATTGATGTCGATCGTCTTCATCGCTGTTATCCAAACAATCTAAAAATGGATAATACGTTATTTAAATCCTTAGACGAATGTTCAATTGAATTTTGTCAAGTTTTATGCTTACCATTATCACCATCACAAATGTAAATTCGCGGTATACAATTACCATTGTCGCAAGTGAACAAATCACCGAAGCATGTTCGACCTTCTGATTCACAGTACTCTGGTGGTTCATCAGCTGAATCTCCACAATCTATACGAATTCAATAATTTCCTCAATCAATAACAAATTTCAAGCTTATAACTATCTTAAGGACACTCACCATCGTCTCCATCACAATACCAAGTGGCCGGAATGCATCTGTGATTTGGACATCTGAAGCTGTTCTGTGGGCAGGTTCTTTGAGCGCAATGAAGTGGATCTTCGTCGGAATTGTCACCGCAGTCATTATCACCTAATGATAACGAACGATAATACATTCGTTTTTCAATCAATTCAGTCTTATCTTCTTTTTTTTAAATTCAAATGAAGAAATATATTTTTACCATCACAAAGCCAGTATGGTTCGACGCAAATGTTGGTTTTCTCGCATTTGAGGTGATTTGCCGGGCAAGTTGTATTCTGTGGACAACGTTCGTGTGTTTCATCGGATGTTGCATTGTCTTTGCAGTCATTGACACCGTTGCAAACTTGCGATTGTGGGATACATCTGCCGTTGAGACAAGTGAATTCACCATCAACACATGGTGGATATGTACAGCCTTCTTCATCGGAACCATCTACAAAGCAAAGCAAAATGAGTTATTTTCATATTTTTTTTTTGTTAATTGATGAATCAAACGGGTAGTTCAACCCTTCAACTGACCTTTGCAGTCATTTTCTGTAGATAAAAAAGAGAAAAATTAAATTAGTATTTGTTGCTTACAATTTGCATTCTAAAAAGATTCAGTTTTCTTTGTTGTTTTATCCAATCCCATTGTATGACTATGGACTACTTACCGTGATCGCACTGCCATGATTTGAAGATGCATCGGCCGTTGTTGCATCGGAATTCATTCGGTGAACATGAATGGAATGTGCAGTAATTCTTGTCTTCGTCAGATCCATCAGAACAATCATCATCTCCGTCACAAGCCCACATTCTCGAAATGCATTTTCCATTTTTGCACAAGAATCGGCTCTCGTCACAAGTATGATTCTTCGATACACACATGCGCCCTTCGTTGACCAATTTTGAGTTTTCGTCACATCTACATTCGGCTTTGCCGTTCAATCCAGGATGACAACTGTGTGTGCATCCGCCATTGTTCTGTGAGCATGGATTTGCCTGGCATTTCTGTCGTGACATACTGTAAACCTGAATATCACGTGGCGAGTCATCGAGTCGTTTCACCATTTCGATCATGTTAGCACCAGTGTGTTTTTCGGCTAATTTGATAAAAATATAAAAATGATGTGTGAATATTATGAACACAAAATAATAAAACTGAAGCAAACAGTAGAATAACCAATTTTATGGTTTATTCCATACATACCTCGATAAACGCCTCGCAACTGCAAATCGGTCCAATAAATGTAATTTCTGAACACGGTAATTGCAAATGGATAAATGGTAGCAGCTACCAAAACTTCTCTGCCCTTTCCATCCAATTGTGATCGTTCGATTTTCTCGCGTACGGCATCGGTCCAGTACAACATGCGTTCATCATAGTCAATAGTTAGGCCGCTCGGTTGTGACAAATCCCGGTCGATAATGGCTCGTTTCAATGATCCGGCCATTGTTGTTTTGAAAATTTTTCCGCTGGTACCGAATCGTCCCCAATCGGTAAAGAACAATGTACCGTTGCATGGATCCAAGACGATAGCACGTGGTCGTTCGACGCGTGCAATCATCACCAATTCACTGCCATCCAAATTCATTGCATAAATGGAATTATTGGAACTATCGGTCCAGTATACTTTCTTTTGTGTCCAATCGTAGGCAATTCCTTCTGGGTTAATTCCCTTGCTAATAACTGGTACGACATTACTGACAGACGGTTGTTGTGCATTTGCATAGGCAATCTTTGCCCATGGACGGATTTGTGTAAAGAATAATTTATTGTCTGCATAATCGAAATCGATGCCAACAACATTTGTTAAATTGCTGACCGGTTTAAATGGAACATTTGTAGAACGTGGATCTAAATTAATGGCTCGAATTTCAGTGCGTGTGGCAAACACAAGGTACTCATCAACTATATCACATCTACGACTATCTGGTGCTAAAACACCAGTTGAGCAATCACAACGGAAGTTTGGCCGTGACAATGAACCCGATTGAGTTTGAGCCTCTGGCGGGAAACTGAAACACAATTGATCACAACCACCGTTTCCATAACGCAAGCATGGATTATTTTCATCGGTTGGCTGATTGTTGATATCATAAATGGCAATGTCACGCAATTTCTCTAAATTGGTTCGCACCTTTGTCGGAAGGGTTGTGTTTCCGATGAGTTTTGATGCTTTGAAAACGGCTTGCAAATTACGATCGACCCAGTAAACATCGCCCAAATGAACGGCAATACCCATTGGATTTGGCAAATTTCCTCGAATAATTTGTCGATTTCCACCCGTGTACGAAATCTTTTGAATCATATCCAATTTTGAATCGACCCAGTACACATCATGTGTTAGCATATCAACGGTTAAATCGCGTGGATTTGAAATGCCCGATGTAACAATTGGTGTCCAGTTTGAACCGTCCAAATAAGCTTTTCCGATACGTGGATACTGGCCGTAGTCAATCCAATACAAAAGCCGTTTAATCGGATTCACAGCCAATTCACGTGGTGCATCGCTCGTTGTCTTTACAATTACTTTACGGTTTGAACCGTCAGCCCAGCAAACTTCGACGTAGTTTTCATGCGGGAACACATTGGTGAAATATAAATTGCCAGCGATCCAATCAATGGTTAAGCCTCGAATTCCATTACTGCCAATGCCATCTTTGATAATGTGTTGCATTTCGGTGCCGTTTGGTCGAATTCGAAAGATTCCGTTCCAGTGTCCTCGGTTGTATTCGGCCCAATAGATCCATGAGTCACGATAAATAACATCAACATGCAAAATGTGATGGCCAGCACCAGCAATGGGTTGCATTGCTTCGGCACTGTCCTTCAAACTGTAACCACGTGTAACATCCAATTGTGATACAACAGCAAATGTTTTGTATGACACACAGGACATCTCCTCTTCTTTGCGATAGCCAGTACCACAGATACATGTCTTCAAGCTGCCTTCTTGTGGTACACAAATGTGTTCGCAACCGCCGTTATTCGATTGGCATGGATGCAACATTGTGGATCGCTTCTTGAAAATGGTCATTCCCTTCAAATCCGATTCATTGTCAACGATAATCTTAGCATTTTCACCGTTTGGCAAATCAACGCGTACAATTTTCTCGTACACTGGATCGAGGAAGTAAAGTCTTGATTCCAAAACGCCCAAACTTTTCGGCCGTGCAATGTTGTCTTTTTCCTCGAGCAAAACACGTTTACCCGATCCATCGATATTCACTGCCATAACTGTCGCTGGGTTTTGTGTGCTATAGTAAACGATCTTTCGATCGGTATCGATAGCAATCGATTCTGGTCGATCAACATTTTCCACTAAAATTATTGGATTCGAACCATCCATATTGGCACGAGCCACTTTCGATGGAACTCCCGAACCACCATCGTCGATCCAATACATTTTACCGTCATTCGGGTCTAATGCAATTGCTTTCGGTCGTCCAACTGATGTTTTGTTGCCATTGTTTGCCAGAAGAATAGCCCGATGTTTCACTTTGCCATCAACTCGGATGATTTCAATTTGGCTAGCGATGCGATTACCAATGATCAAATTGCGTCCCAACCATTCGAAGGCAATGACATATGGAGCACCAACAATGCCAGAGTCTCCAAGAAAATCAGTCTTATTTCCACCACCGTATGGTGTGGCATAAATTGTGCAATTTTCATCGTCTTGTTCGCCACCTTTGCTCTGCACCCAATAAAGTGTTTCACCTTTGCGATCGAAATCGACTACAATACCACCGTCAATGCCAACGACTGGTGTCAAAGCGCCGGCTCTTGCATCGCCTCCATTCAATGGAACGTCGACAATTTGGTTGCTCTTCAATACCATTAGATATGAGTTCTCCTCTTGTATGCATCGTCCATCTGATTCCAACAGGCGATAGCCCGGTTTGCACTTGCATGTGTAGCCCGACTTGGAGCTTGGACTCAAAAGGCACATGTGTTGGCAGTGCGCATTTTCACATGGATTCGGCAAAATTGGTTGCAACGAAGGATGATGCACATGGATCGAAAGCGGTTGTGAGATCAAATGTGATACAACGGTTTGATTGTCACCTTTGAATTTGTGCGCTGATAAAACTCGGTTCAATTGACGATCGGTCCAGTATAAAGTGTCTTCAAATAGGGATAACGAATGCGGATGCAGTAAATAATGGCTGGATGCTAATACTTGTTGTCGTCCAGTTCCGTTGTAATAACAAAAATCGATGAAATCAAGCTTTGAATCGGCGAAGTAGACTCGTTTTGTTGATGTATCAAGCGTCAAACCGTTTGGCCAATAGATTTTTGTGTTGATAATTGTTTGTCGCATTGTTCCATCCATACCGATTCGTTCGATGCGTGGATTTTCTCCCCAATCCGTCCAGAAGATCCATCGAGTGCCTGGTGCTGGATCTAAGCACATACCACGCGGTTGTGTGATATTCTCTCGTACGAGTACCAAACGATTTTCACCCATTTCACCGCACACTTCAATCGTATTCAATTTACTGTCCAACCAGTACAAATTCTTGCCAATCCAATCGTATGCCAAACCTTCAACCAAATCCAAACCGGTGGTTATGATGTCAATTGGTTCCATGCCACGATCCAAACGTGAGATCTTCTTCAATTTCATATCACTCCAGAAAATCGTTCCACTTCGCATATTCGATGCAGTTGCCACAACATTTTCAACGATAATCGGCACACGTTCCAAACCTTGCTCTTTCAAATCGGCCACCAAAATCGAATGACGATTCGAAATTATCAAGAATGCGGCTGTGTGATTCACTGCTTTGCATGAGTGTTTATTTGGTTCCAAAATGTAGCCTTCGACACACGAACAGAAGTATGATCCTTTGGTGTTTGTACAGGTCTGTGAACATAAGCCGGGCGGATCACATTCATTCAAATCTTTGCAAGTGAATCCATCGATGCTCAGCTCTTCGCCCGGTGGACAAATGCACAGAGCTCCATTTGGTGTTTTCTGACAACCGTTTGAGCACAAACCGGATTGATGTTGACACTCGGCCAAATCACATCCTGGACCTTCGTCAGCACCATTTGGACAATCGAAAATGCCATCACAAACCGATGTCATATTTACACATCTGCCAGTCACATTCGGGCATCGCCATTGACCAGTTGGGCAACGGAATGGTGGCGGAACGCATGCATGTACGGAGCTTTCGTCGCTGTTATCGCCACAATCATCTTTGCCTGAATTTTTTAAATTAAATAAATATATATAAATTGAATTTAGTCCTGAAATTATGATATTCAATCAATTGGCAATTAAAAAAATAATTCTTTACCATCACAAATATATGCTTTGAATACGCAATTCGAGTTGTTACACTTGTAGAAGTTGGTCGGGCATGAGATTGTACCACATTCCTCTTCATCGGAATGATCGTCACAGTCATTTGAGCCTACATAAAGAAAAGGAATTCAATTTGTTGAGAATTTTTCAAAATAATGTTTTGGTGTTTTTTCTGAATGAAAAAGGTTTGCTCGAAAGAAAAGAAAAGCGAAAGGCTCACCATCACAATGCCATGAAATTGGTATACAAATGCCGGATGATTTGCATCGGAAGTGTTTCTCTTGATTACATTGATTCGGTCCCATCGATGGGCAGCCCAATTCATCACTTCCATCGTTACAATCAGGAATGCCTGTAGTGATTAAATGTGCATTAGTATTTTTTATTCGGCTTGGAATTATCAAAATGTTGAACAAGTTAAGGAAAATAAATAATATTACCATCGCATTTATATGATTCTTCTACACACTGCCTGAGATCCGCACACTTGAACTGATTTGCTAAGCAGGATATTGGTGGGCAATCTTTTTCATCTTGTTTATCGAAGCAATCTGTAAAATAGAACGTAACTTAGAATTTTGTTCGAATAAAATTCCAAACAAATCTTTCTCACCGTCATCTCCATCACAAACCCAAGACTGTGGTATACAATGGCCAGTTCTCGGGCAAGTGAATTGGAAGTAAGCACACGTTTTTTCTGCACAGAAATCACCTTCATCAGAGCTGAAATTCGGAGATTGAAAATGTATATTTTATTATTGTCATCGTTTTATTTTGGCGATTTTTCCCTCAAATAAAGGATGAAAAGAAAGAAACTCTATTGAAATAAATAGAAACATACCTGTCACCGCAATCATTTTCGGAGTCACTGCAAAAAGAAATGGAATAAATAGATTAAAAACAGTCAGCCTTCATTGAAGTTTATTTCCACATACCATTTCCACATATTTGGAATACAGCGTCCATTTGCACAAGCGAATTGTGAAGAAGCACATGTCACATTTCCGCACTCAAACTCATCAGAATGATCGCCGCTAAAATGTTTCGAAACAATTTTTTGTTTTACAAACTCATGATTTAAACGGATTTGCCAATTCATGACTCTAAAATTAGTCGGATATTTACCAATCATTTTCTTGATCGCAACGGAAACTCAATGGAATACAGCGACCCGATTTGCATTGGAATTCATTTGATCCACAAGTTGGTTCTGGAAAAATGCAACAAAATAAAAATCAAATTAGTAAATGATGTTTTTCAATTTTGCACCAAGTTCTTACTTGTACAGTTGTGTTCTTCGTCTGAATTATCGAGACAATCTGAAAAGAAGTAACAAAAAAAGATTGGGTTAGAATCGATTACCATTCAAAATATGAAATTCGTTTACCATCATCTCCATCGCAAAGCCATGATTTAGGTATGCACCGTTGGTTGTTGCATGTGAAATCCCATGAATTTGGACAGGCAAGCACTGGTGGCTCGGCATTGGGGTCGGAAACACACGTTTGGCCATCATCATTGATTCGTTCACCGTACGGGCATGCACATTTCACCGAAAGCAAATGTGATCCATTCACCGGCACAGCGAAACAAATCTTTTCACAACCGCCGTTATTAATTGCACACGGTTGTGTTGCTTCGACTTGTTGCACTGAATAGCTGTACACTTTAACGCCATAAAGACGATTTGTCTGTGGTTCACGTACCATAATTTCCTCTTGTTCACCCGTCAATTTATGCAACCGAACGATGGCGTCTAGTCGCCAATCCGTGATATACATCCATTCTTCGTGTATAACAATTGAGAACGGATGTCGTATCAGTCGTGAATTAACTGTTCTAATATCAGAACCGTCAAGATTTGCGTGTTGTACGTGATCAAGTAAAGCATCGCACCAATAAACTCGATCTTCTTTGAAATCAATCGATAAACCATTTGGCCATCCCAATGTTACATTTTTGAACACTAAAATGCCCGATCCATCGGAATTGGCTCGAGTAATGTTGGCCGGTCGATCCCATTCGGAGAAGAAAATATATCCTTTGTTTGGATGCACCACAATAGCACGTGGCCGTTTCAAATTCTTCAATAATGTACGACGATGTGTCACATTTCGTGTTGAGAGTACATTCAATGTACCTTTGCGACTGTCAATATAATACAAATTCTTTGAAGCCCAATCGACTGCCAATCCTTCGACGCCTTCATTTTGACTGGCCAGCACAATTTCACGGCCAGTTCCATTGCGATGCACTCGATAAATGACATCTTGCAATACATCGGAATAGTAGATATGTTGATCGCGTGCATCAAAATCAAGGCCAACAAATCGAGCCCGTCGTGATACAACCGGTAAAATTGCATCGCTAAAACCTTCAATAACTGGTTCCAATACTTTTCCCTTGATAAAACGCTGCTGGCTATACATTAAGAATTCACCGACTAAATTACAATTTCGCAAATCTTCGGTTAATTGGAAGCCGGTGTGACAAGCACATCGATAGCCCAAACCCGTTGGTGCTCCTTTTACCGCTGTCACAATGCACATGTGTTGACAGCCACCGTTGTTGTTTCCACATGGATTCGATACTTTTGGCTGCAGGAATGGATGCACTGAAACAATTGCCTTTGGTTCACGAATATCTTTCGACTTGAAAATCGATTGAATGCTTGATGTTCCCTCGAATTTGTCGACTGACATAATGCCTTGTTTTGTTGCATCCGTCCAAAAAACGCGATTTTCAAACAGTGCCAATCGACTTGGGCTCGGCACATTTTGTCCTCTTAAGATCATCACACGATGACCGCCATCGTAGTCAACGGTTTCAATGTAATCCAAAAGTGAATCACACCAATACACACGCTTCGCAATGATATCAACGGCAACGCCACTCGCTTTGTAAGCCGCTTCAGAAACTACAGCTCTTGCATGTGTTCCATCCATATGAGCTCGCAAAACTTGACCGCCATCGGCAACGAACATTAAACCGGATGTTGGATCCAGTGCTAAATCGGCTGGACTGGTTAAATTTGAGCCCAACACAACGGCATGCCATTTATTATCCAATTCAAACACATCGACTTTTTGCCCGATAAAATCGGCTACATAAAGCTTGTCACCGATCCAATCAACGGCCAATGCAATCGGTGCCCATGTACCAGGCAACGAAAGATCTGTACCACCAAAACCGCCTTCATTCAATGGCATCGATTGAACTTTTCGTGTTTTCGTATCCGACCAGAACAGCAAATTTCTCGAACTGTGGTAAGCAACGCCACTGGCACCCGTTGCATTCACAATATTTCGTGCATCTTGTCCATGGTGTGACATCCGAATGACAGCATTGTCATGTGCAAAAATCAATTCTAAACCAGCCGAATTCGGTGCACCGCATCGTGATTTGTCGATAAGTGTGTAGCCAGCCGCACAAGAGCATGTGTATGAACCGTCTGTATTCGCACAAAGCTGATCACAATGGCCCCATTCAGCACATTCATCCAAGTCCGTACATGACCGATTGTCACTCGCTAGCGATCGACCAGTTGGACAGAAGCAAACACCTCCCGTCAACGATGGACCGCATTTGTGTTCACAATTCAACGATGGACAAGCATTTGTGGCTGCAAAATGGAAATCAAATTAATGTGAATACTTCGAAAGCTTACGTTGTTGTTCATAAAATTTCATGCATTTTAATAAGAAATGTTCAAACGAATTTTTGAGTGGGATATAAACGAGAGAATGCCATTGTGGGAAATAACTTACAACAAGCTGTTTCTTCGTCGCTACCGTCTTCGCAGTCCCGTTTGCCATCACAAAGCTGCACTTTAGCGATGCATTTCGGTGTACCGTTCGGGCCACCGCGTGGACACAGGAACTTGTTATCGGGACATGCAATTGCTGTACAGTTTGCTTCATCTGATTCATCCTGACAGTCGTGATAGCCATCTTGAAAAATGCAACAATGCAAACGGAAAATAAATGAATAAAAATCAGCAATTTAAAAGGTTTTTACATTAATCATTTATCCGTGAGTATGTTCATTTTCATTCTGAATGCAATCACACGGAAATATTGACTTAAACTTACCACAGTGGAACGTAGCCGGGATGCACAATGCATTTTGACAACGAAATTGTCCGGCGTGGCAGGCAGGGAAGTCTGAAAAAAGGTTGTAAGCGAAAAGACAACATGAAAATTCGTCAGTAAAAACAAAAAGTTGGTTAAGCTCTCGGTTGAATGCAATGAATAAATTTACGAGATTCACATTAAAAAGCAATGAATGTCACCGACAGTTCAGTGAACATGCAGTAAAATTAAAGTATATGGAGATTTATTTTTTTGGTCAGCAACAATTTACGAAAATACTAATAAAACATGACACAATGTTTGAGGGGAAAAAATAAAGCGATGCCGTAAAAGTTCATACATGGTGAAATGAGCGTTGAAACTTAATTGAATAGAAAGTGATAAAAACGTTAAAACACGGATTATGTCATCATCAAATCCCCCGTAAATGAAATGAAAAGAGCAGAACAAAATGAAATGTGAACGGAGGAAGAGAGAGAGAGAGAGCATTAAAAATGTTTCAATTTTGCGCGTTTTCATTGTTTGCATTTTTATCGCTTTCTTGTTCATTTGCATTTGCCATAACGATTTTATTGGTGGTATTTTGATGAAATTTGAAATTGTGCATTCTGGATGCAAATATAATAAACTCAAGAATGTTCTCCATATACTTAAAGATAGAGTATGTAAATAACAAAATAAAAATTTGTACTCACTGCAACCCTGTTCATCGCTGTTATCGTCGCAATCCGATTTGTGGTCACATTTCCGTACATTATCGATACATTTTTGTCCGTTGGCACAACGGAATTGATCCAAGCGACATTTTGCGCCGGTGCAGCCGTCTTCATCGTGACCCGTTCGGCAATCTAAATACCCATCGCATTTCTTCTCTTTTGGCACACATGGATCGGCCGAATAACCATTTTTACTTGACGTCGAATTGGGTAAACCGCAATGGATGTCATCCGTTTGACAGTTTCGATATGCTGAAAATAGCAGAAAATCCCAGAGAAATCCATGGTTAATATATTCCAATCTATATGTGCAACATTCTAACTTTCATGGTATTCATCGAATATTCTAGTTGTGAAGAGCAATAAACGTGTGTAAAATTTTCCAAATCGCTTGGGGGGGTCCACATTTTGGAATCCTAGGGGGGGTAAAACCGGAATACCCCCCCCCCCCTTGCACACGTGTGCCTCTCGTTCTGCTTCCCCTTCAAGTGAGTACATTCTAATTCAATTGTTTTTATGAAATTTTTAACACAAACTCATTGTTTCTCCAGGTTCAGCTTCGGCAGGTATCAGTCGTGTGATGCCAACTTCTTAAACTTTACTAACTGTAAAACTAATTTTTGAATGTGAAGTTTGTATGAAATTCTTAGATTTTCATTTCACCACCACATGCACGGCTATATACAATCATTGTAATTTGATGCTGGAGATAAATTTCATGTGGCACTGATTTCGATGCAACATGCAATCCAATGTGGTAACATTGCATGAACTCTGGCTGCTCATGTTCTCGTCAATTCCATTAATAGACACGATGGAGTAAAGTTTATCGTTTGGTCGAGTGAAAAATCGAATGCAAAATAGAGCGAGAAGTTCAGCAGATATTCATTCATGCTAATAGCATGAATTTGCTAAGATTGGGTCAAATGTCGAACGACGGCATTTCGGCAAGTTGAAAATTTAACCAACAACCCCCAAAAGTAATGATGATTCATTTCATTGTATTGCTTTGCAACATTCGCATTTCTTCAGAAACCCGAATGACATCCCAAACACGTACATACATATTTAATAGAAAGTATTCCATTGCTTCGAAAGCATTACAATGTAATCTAATTAATACAAGCTTCTATTGCTTGAATTTATGTGCACTTCCGGAAAGAACAAGAGTAGACAAAAAAAAGAACATATCAAACAATAGAGATTGGAATTTCTCTAGCTTGTTGCTATTTACAATTCAATTTGAATTAAATAGCTGTACTTTACATTTTCACTTGGGAAAAAAACCAAAACTTTTCCGTTGTTTAGAGCATTTTTCATTTTTGCGTTTTACTCTGTCCCAACAATGTATAGCCCGAGGAGTCATATTTTTGCTTTTATGTGATGACCAAACAATTTGTTTAGGTTAGAATCGCATTTAATATTGCTACCACGAGAATGTTTTGTTGCTGTCCATGCTTTAAGTATCATACATTTTAGCGTTACACCTTTCTACCGTATTCTCTCTCCCTTTGTGTAGCAAAAATTGGCCATCTAAACTTTTTTTTTCATCATAGATGAATAAATGGTGGCCGAGGTTATTTTCTGTTTATTTACTTCGAAATGCAAACAACATTTCATCCGATTTAGTTAATTACATGCTTTTCGTCCGAATACGCTTGGGTTTTGACTCTATGCAAATGGCTTTATGACAATTGAGCAGGAGAGGGGGGAAGGTAGAAAAAATGACAATGCAAATACGTCTCTGAAAAACGCAGAAGCACACACAAACAAATTACACATTGCAAACAGTTTATTCGTTTAGCCAAAGCTTACTGTCCGAATGCTCGGAAACTGAAACAAAAAAAGCACAACAACACATAATAATAACGAAACTCTTCCACCAACTTTCGCTTCAATTCAAGAAGTTTGCAATACAATACATTCGGTTGAAGGCAGAATTTAAACGAATTTGATTTGGTCGATGCAAAGTTTTCAGAGACCTAGTTTTCACAATTCTCCCTGGCCACACACACACACACACACAACCAGCTCAACATGTACACCAGCAAACGAAACAAATTTAAAGTTTTATGACATGCTTTTGAGCACCTCGTTGCATTTCCAAACCAACACACAAGAGCAGCAACAGCAGTAGCAAATTGTTTGACCATTCAATAATGCATTTCATTGGAATTCATTTCGTTGCACATCAATATCGTACAGTTTTGGTCTCCGTAGAAATGTCACATCGACAAAAGTTTTGATTTGACTAAATTAAACCGGGGGAAATACAACTTTCAGTAACTACGAAAGTTGTTTGTGAACGTTTCGAATTTTGGTTTTCGAAGCTGTGGTAAATGATATTTGCCATGCATTCTACAGAAATATTAATAGAGCAATCAAATTTAAATCCTTGAAAACACACAAAGTTCACATTAGACATTTTGCAATAAATGAGTGGAATTTTAGGTGCAGAAATTAAATTTGCGACATCATCAATCAGGAAAATGGGAAGCAATATTAAAAGTTTTCCTTTGTAAAACTATTTGATGAGGTCATTAATAAACAAGTGTTTCAATTGACTTTGTCGCAAATGACAAACAAATTACTCGTAGGATATCTCCAATCAATTCAATCAACACTGTGGATTCAACAGCAACTGTTTTGAGTTAACAGACAAAATAAGAATGTTTTTACACTTGCATCGAAGATTCATTATGGTGCCGTTGACTGGATTCCATGTTTTATGGTCCTTGCAACACACATTACAGAATTGTGGTCTAAAAAAGTGATTTTTGGCAAGGAATTTAGGAAAGAGTAATTCAGTGTTCACATTCGGTAGCTTAAATACCTTTTATAGTAACCGTAATGAATCTTTATCAATTATCTTTTACGTTTAATGGGAATGATAATGGAACCATTCTTTTCTATAACATTTTAATTCAAAAAATCACCATAACGAGAACATGACGTATTTCTAACTCCATCTACGGATTTTTCCAGCAGTTGTGTTCTATTGAGTTGCGGTTTTAATTATTTTTGGGCGAAATTATCTCAAAAGTATGCTAAAATGAGTTATTTGTCATGCGAACGCTCAAATGAGTTATTTGTCATGCGAACGCTCAAACGACTACTGTTAATGTACGCACTGATTCAGTAGACATGCAATGGTTACTAGATGACAAATTTACAATACACTCGAGTGCATGTATTTGCGTGTACATTTCCGGTAGCCGTTTGAGCGTTCGCATAACAAATAACTCATTTTTGTATATTTTTGAGATAATTTCGCCCAAAAATAGTTGAAATCGTTATGTATCTACTCGATTCACAACTACTGGAAAAATCCGTAGATGGAGTTAGACGCCCGTACCAAATGTAATGTATTGAAACTCCATATACATGCTCGGAGTATGAAAATCACATAAACATCTTACTACAGTAACCGATGGATACAAACCAATAAAATAAATTGGACAAACAGAAATGATAAATGGAATTTGTTAGAAATTTTCTTTCCAAAAGGTAAAAGTTCCGCGAATTGTTGCAAATCCAAGGTGTGTGGGGCGCTTAAATACACTTCAATAAATGATAAATGTTCACTTTTGATATTTTTTTGTATGCATAGCAGTAATAAAGTTGTATTTATATTGTAAGCTCATCGATTAAATATTGACGAATTCAACTGAGAGTGGCCCTCAATGGTGGTGCGATAAATGAAACTCACAAACAAAATGTTTATTATAAAAATGTGATTGATTGATTTCCCCATTTTTCATGTAGCCACTTTACACACTGGAATTACTTTTTCTCTGCTGAGTGTTTTTTCGCGTAAAAAAAATCAATGTTTTAAACAGTTTTAATTGCATGCATTTTACTTAATTTAATTGAAATTCAGTGCTTTTTCGGCTAATTTGTGATATATGATAAAATGATTAACTGAACCGTCAACTGAACAGCGTTTTTAATCCAAAATGCAAATCCGTATTAAGAGTCTTAAGTAAAAGCGCTCTCTCACTCTCTCGTCGAGCGTTGATCTCAAGAGCATGAGCATATTTGATTTGATGACATCGTCATCAGCGATATGCGCGCCGTTAAGGCAATTAAGTGTCTCATTCGTGTGCAAAGTTAGCGTCTTAAAAAAGTTTCTTTCAACTTCCATAACACGATTAAATATCGTTTCTTTTTTTTCGTCTTCATTTTCTGTTGCCTTCCTTTTCTTTGTGCATTTTGTTTTCGTTTGCTTATTTTTGTCTGTTGAGGCGCGTTGCTTATCCGTGTGCATCGAGCGTGTCGAGAAAAGAAGCATGAGATCGGCAGCACAAGGAAACCCATATGAAAGCTTCAGCCAAAAGCGAGCAATACTTGGCGGTGTTTATAGCAGAGTGTTTGAACGTAAAAAGAACCAGAAAAAAAAGAACATAAAAATCCAGCCAAAAATCTTAATGAGAAAATTACAATGTGAACAAAATGCTTTTTCATGCTCCTTTGCCTCGAATTATACGCGAGCGAAAAATCTGTTTTGGCAAACACATACTTGAGGGAAAATTGCACGAGGATTTACAGCCAGCGCAACGTGCAAAGAGTACTATTTTCATAAGATTTGTTTGAAATCCGTTAAAACGTTTCACAATTTGAAGAGAAAGAGAACGAAAACACGCACTCTCTCTCGTTAATGTTGCAAGCAAATAAATTTGATTTTGAGTTTCACTTAAAAATTTCTCATAAATTTTCTCACTCAAAGGAAATTTGCAGGAAAAACACAAGAACGACGTCTGCAACGAGTCACATTTATTTAGATTTCTTCTTCAGTTTCTTCTGCTTTGCTGAAACAGGCGGACACAACGGCTTACAGAGAGCACTTTAAAGCGATAAAAGTAATGAGAACACACCGAAACTGTTACTTTGTATAGTTGAAAAATGGAATAGATTTTAACCGAATTTACATTTATGAGCGTTCTTAATTACTTTTTCGAGCACTCGTATAAGTGCCACTGGCTGTAATCATTCATATACCGACAGAGGGAGAGAGAGAGAGTAATAAGCGCTTAATTTTATGATACCTTTGCGTATTACATCAAGTTGTTGAATTTGAGTTTTTATTTCATAAAATGGAAAAATAGGAATGTTTCTTATATTAAATTCTTGATACTTACTACAATCCTGTTCGTCGCTACCATCGGTGCAGTCGACCACGCCGTCACTGCAAAATGGATTAAAATAAACATAAGTCCATGTTGTTTAAAATTGGAATTGTTTCACTTCGTAAT